TCTCACCCATTGACTCCTCAATCTACATTTTCACTGACTACCTGTCTTGTATGCATACCAGCCCAGCCGCTGGCTTCTTTACTTTTCATTCCATCCAGGAAGAGCATGCACCAACTGCTGAAACTTCCTCAGCCTGTCAAAGGGTTTTTGAACCCGAAAGCTTGCTTAATAATTGTTTTCCAACTATTTAAGTTGGTCTAATAAAAGATATCAGATTCACACAAAGAACCTTGTCTGCCTAGAAAATCACTACAAATTTGAAAACTGACAAACGTGACTTCTTCCTCTTGTACCTGCCCAATACTCTACGGTAAAGATTCTCCTGCTAAACCCATTTTCCAATTTTAATATGTTTTCAGATAAAAGTCATCATTCTCTTTGTTGGGGGTAATACTGATGCCATTGGCTTAAAGTATAATATCTGATTAAAATACACAAAAACACATTTGTATCATTTGCTAAGGCTAGCAAGTTGGCCACTGCCTATACTTTATTTATAGTGTGTAACAGGTCTCCTAAGTTGCAATGCATTGCTTCTGTCCCTAAATGATTGGGGAAAACTTAGAAGAGAATAATGAACAGTAAACATATTCTTGTTCGCACTTGGATACAAGCATTCATACTGGATGGCATTCACCTTTATGCACAGATCAATGTGCAACTACTGTCTCTATCATTGTACTGGGATGGATGTTATCTGTTAATGTGTGTCATTTATCAATAATGCATCTATACCAATAACTCATCTGTGTGTGAATGTTGCTGCGCAATGAACAATAAAAGACACAAATATAAATGAACCAAAACTGTTTAGAATAAGAACAAATGTTTGTGAATCATGCTGGAGAATTATTTAATAAGTTTCCACATATACTAACACTCTAAAACTTTTTTCTTCTGTAGGTGGAAAAATTTCATATGAAATCCTAAACCATTTTTATATGTTATAGATATACAAGCATATACACTTTTGTCCTCTTCAGAACAGAGGAAAATTCTGTAAAATATTGCTAAAGTGGAAAAAAACTAAAAAAAATTAAAAATAAGTCATTACAATTTCACTTCCTTGAAGATTCAGGCAATCCTACATTTATTTGCCATTATAAATGTGCTGCTATCACCTACTGTGCTGCAGTCTCTGATTAGGCATTTTGGAATATTTTTTTGTAATAAAAAATAGGCAACCATTTGTACCCATGGGAGGTAGATCCTTATTTCATAGAGGAATTGGAACCTGAAAGACTTTCTTGGCTTTGCTGAACTCTATCAATGTACACTCCTCTGCAGAAGATGGAGCAAAGCCACCCTTAGTAATGTAGTGCCTAGCCCATTCCACAACCCTTTTCCCCCACCTAAGGCATGCAATTCTTGTTGCCGATTGCTGCTACTTATTTGTATGCTGTACATTTATTTTGTTAAGCCCTTATGCCTAGGTGTTGCACAAACACATAGCAAGGGATGACAGGGACCTTATAAAGAGAAATACTCTTATTCTCCATTTTACAGATAGGAACTGAGACAGGGAGAGATTAAGTGTACTTCTCAAAAGTCAAACAGCTAGAGTGGCAAAGAAACTCAGTAAGAACAGTCACAGCATTAGGGCTCTGAAAACATAAGCTGATCCACATAGGTTTAGTGTAACATCGCACTGGAACAGGGCTTGTAAGCTTGGGTAAGAAAAGATGCATCCAGCTGTATATTTGAATTATCATAGAACCTGTTCATGTCAAGAGCAGTCTGGCCCTGGTGCCATCGATGACAGAAAGCTTACCTACCCCTGACTGCTAATTGGTCAGTCTTCTGTGCATCTTTGCTCAGCATTTGAAGCAGACTTAACAGACAGGTGAAGCTTCCAAAATGGGATTTGTATGTTTCTTGTGACATACCCCCTCCCCAAGATTGTTATGTAACTTCATAAATCATACAGTAAATTTCAATGTGGATCACACACTTGGGGTGGGGTGGGGTGGGGTGGGGTGGGGAGGTAGAGCCACTGAGGTATTCTGTATCAAAGGGGTCACAGCAGTGCCCCTGACTGTTATGTAATGTGATTGGCCAGGAATTTGATTCATGGAGATTATTTTAACAAACAAACAGCTCCATATTAAGTATTTCAGAAGTTCCAGTACCAAATTCCTGATAACGAGGAAAGAAAAAGCACAAATTGGCCTTCATCAAAGTACGTACACTTTGGGCATTATTATGAACCAAAAATGTATTCCTATTTTTATTAAGATTATTTGTATTGCAATAATTCTTGAAAGTCCGAGTCAAAGATTAGGGCTTCATGATGGACACAAAGTATGACTCATGCCCTAAGAAGAAAACTGTGATAAATAAATCTCTCTCAGACCCAATATAATCCTACAGAGATTTTTTTTAAATGGTAAGCATCAGTTTGAGACTGAAACATGAAGTCTAAGTACATACAGTGAAAAAAGCCTGAGCCTGAATCAAT